CCAACAAGATTTTTATTGCTGCTAATATTTGTTTTCCTCCAAAAATGTATAGTTTGGTTTGGTTTGTTTATTTTATGGCATATCAACCTCAATGGGTTATTTAATGCTGACAAGATTTTTATTGGTGGTAATATTGTTTTTTTTTTCAAAAATATATTCTTTATTACTGCTGGCAATAATGTATTGCTGGTAATAATTTTTTTCAAAAATGTATTGCCAGTATTTTTTTTCCAAAATGTATTGCTGGTAATAATTTTTTACAAAATGTATTGCTGATATTAAAACCAATTTTCACACTTTCATAATGTTTCAACACCAGTTTGTGGGTTCATCATCATTTTCTTGCGGCCTCAGCCGAGATTGAACTCAGTACACCTTTCCAGTATTCCTTATCTTCAATACTTTGATTGGTGTAGTTCATAATCTTGTCAAATAGCTGAATTCTTGATGCTTCGCTAGGGCTATCAAGGGTGTTTTTTATTGTGACAATATCACTAAATGGATTGCCAACCAAGACTCAGAGAGACTCCATTCACCCTCATCTAAGATCTTTGAAGGGATGAATACAGAGACCTGGTGCACCGAATGCCACAAGGTTCCCAAACGACCCTCCCCAGGTTTTGAATTCAGAGTTGTCCTTCTCCTAGACCAGTTTCAATCCAAGGCTATAGAACCCAGTCTATCCTGCTATTTTACCCATAGCTGGAGGGAGAGGAAGAGGATTCATACCTTTCCCAAGGGTATTAGCACGTAAGTGAATGTACTGGAATTTGAACTCAGCTCTGCGATTCCTCAATCCAAGCCGCTATCCATTACTCCACCGTGCCTCCTTGTTTGTGGGTTAACTATTTGCTCCTAGCAAGGATTCTAACAGGTGCTACAGTCCGAGGCCAGTGAGGTCATGGGACCATCAGCAATTAAGCGGTAGTTTCAGGCTACTCAAAACATACTTATCAGAGGCCTTGCTGTCGAATGTATTATCGTCTTACCCAGGACATGGATGTAGTTTATCATCGTACCCAGGACGGGATTTATTTTGTTATTCCAACGATGACAACTTCCATTATTTGGAAAAGATATTAGAATAATCTAGAGCTTATAGTGGAAACAAACAGACTGCATATGGATAGAAAATGAATTGATTTGGTACACAAAAATAGAAAAGAGTAAAAGAAGGACATGTCTTCTCGTTGGATTTATTCCCCCTTATGGTGGGGGGGGGATCCGACGAAAACTAGAAATCCTACCAGGATTTATTATTACTGGGCACAACCTTAACAATATAATATATGCAGATGATGCAATGTTGATAGCAGACAAAGACAGAAAACTGCAGGAACTTCTAGAAAATGTAGTGAAAGAAAGTGTGAAAAAAGGACTAACTATAAGAAGACAGAATGTATGGTTTTCAACAAGAAGAAGAAACTAGGAGGTGAGCTATGGATTGGAGATGTCAAAATCAAGCAAGTCCAAAAATTACAATATCTAGGGAGTGTTTTAACGCCAAAATCAGAATGTGTATTTTAATAACAAAAGAAGCCTTGCAAAAGCTAAGCAAAGTTTTTTTTTTTTTTAACCATTTCACCCCAAGCATGGTGGGACTGCCACTAGTATGCAAGGGGCTAAGTGCAAGTAAAAGAAAAGACTGGGTGTAGTGGGTGGGGTTGAGGAAAGGATAAAAAGAAGAACAGGAGGAGGATAAAAAAATGGAACAGAGATCAAGGCAACAGAAGATACTGAGTGACATTACATTTAAATATTCGAAGAATATGGTTATCCGGGAAGCAAGTAAAAGGAAGAGAATTCTACTGTCAGGAAGTGTGAAAGAAGAAGCTGTTGGAGTAGAAGAGGTAGTTATATTTTACTGTTCCAACTGTAAAAGAGTGGGACTGAGATGTCAACCTAGTAGCATGCTTAAATTCATGCAGACGGGGCACCAGTGAAAATAGATCATCAAAGCAGTTGGCATGAAAATATTTGTAGAAGAGACAGAGGGAAGCCACATGACGTCTGTGAGAAAGTGACTGAAGTCGAGATGCCAGGTCAGGACCTATCACATTGCATATCCGTTTTGGGATTTTGTCGAGAACCTCGAGATGACTTTGGTCTAAACAGGCTGCCAAAGAACATGGCATCCATGAAAGTTCCCCCACCTAAGCATCTCTAAACTCCTGATGCCCCCCCCATAACATTTAATTCTTATTATTCAAAATATAAAGTCCTATTCACGTAGAGGAAACCTAAAACCTTTTTGTTTTAAGTATTTCACGCAAGAGGTTACAGAGAGTGAAAGTAAGAGGAAAGAGGGCTGTTGAAGGAAAGGATAAAGAAAAGGACGGGGGTCAAGATCAAGGCATAAGAAGATTAGATTTAAATTTTTGAAGATTATAGTTATCAGCAAAGCAAGTAAGAGGAAGAGAGTTCCACTGTCAGGAAGTGCAAGAGAAGAAGCTGCTGGAGTAAAAGAGACGGTTACATTTAACTGTTTCGACAGTAAAATAATGGGACCGAGATGCCAACATACTTAAATTTATGCAATTGGGGCACCAGTGAAAATAGCTCGTCAGAATAGATGCTATAAAAATATTTAGAGAAAAGACAGAGGTAAGCCACATTACATCAGTGAGAAAATGAATAGAGTCAAAACCCCAAATCAAGACTGATCACTTTGCATTTTGTCGAGAACCTCAAGATGAACATCAGGGGCACCTGACTATATATGGTAACAGTATTCCATGCATGGACGATTGGTAGATTGGTAGATGTGAAGTATTAAGAAACAGGAAAATTTTATTAGAAAAAAAGAAAAGAGCACCTGAGTCTTTACGTAATATCGATCCTCCTCTCTGGCAGTGAATCATCTCTGAGTCCTTGTGGGTGATGAATTATTCTCCACCCTCCTACTCCTTTCCTACAGGTGGGATGTGGCAAGACTCTCACTGCTCTGTTATTTCCGTGTAAATTGCTCAGACGAACTACATTCACTAGTCCCGCTATTTCAAACCTTCACATCAAGGACACGCCATACCGTTTACATAGTAGCAAACCACCCACACCCACTCCCTCTTTCATTGGTGAGAAGTAAGTTTTGCTCAAACAGCTTCTTCCCATGAACCACTGCACTGTGGAAACCGACTCCCAAGACAATCTTTCCCTGATCACTACAATCTTAACCTGTTCAAAGCTAGTGTCAAACATTATCTTCCACTCCAAATGTAAACCTCTACTTTAAATGGCTCCTGGTTCTTGTAAAAGGAGAAACCTTGTAAAAAATGTGAGAAACCTAAAATTTTTGTTTTAAAAATTTCACGCAAGAGGTTACAGAGAAAACTAAGAGGAAAATAGCTGTTGAAAAAGGATAAAAAAGGATGGGGATCAAGATCAAGGAATTTTTAAATTTTTTGAAGTAGTGTCAAACATTATCTTCCACAATGTAAACCTCTACTTTGAATGGCTCCTACCTTGTAAAAGGAGAAACCTATTGTAAAAAATGGAGGAAAGATAAAACCTTTTGTTTTTAAGTATTTCCCACAAGAGGTTACAAGGAAAGAGGAAAAAAGGAAAGGATAAAAAAAGGACGGGGATCAAGATCAAGGAATAAGAAGATAAGATTTAAATTTTTGAAGCTAGTGTCAAACATTATCTTCCACTCCTAATGTAAACCTCTACTTTGAATGGCTCCTTGTCCTTGTAAAAGGAGAAACCTATTGTAAAAAAAAAATACTTGACAATCTCCTCAGGGATGAAGAAAATATCTGAGGCAACAGAAAAGAGAAAATACAAAACAAAAAAGAAAACTTATACTTAACACTGAGAAGAGCCAGTTGAAATTTCCAATACACAGGACAGATTGATGGCAAGAGGTAACAGAAATGCTGAGAATGGATGAAGCATATGAATAATGGGGAATTTTTACATGGAATGGAAACAAAGAGGATAGTTGAAATTTCTAGGATGCATAATGAGGAAAGAAGGGTTAGAAAATTTGGCATCCACAAGACATATTAAAAGCCAAAGAAGTAGAGTAAGCAACCTAATGAGCTTGTGTAAATGGTTTGCAGAACAGGAAGAGAGAGGGGAATAGTAAAAAGACAAACATTGCTAAGAGTTACAAACAATAGGAAGGTGTGGAGAGCTATGAACTTCCATGTGCTGAAAGGGCATGGCACATAAAATAAGTTACTTGACAAAATTGTAAAATCTGTTGTTTCCTACTTTTTACTTTAACAGGTGAACGTTATAAAGTTAACAAAGTTCATTTAAATTGTTCGGCATCCATGCTGGCCAGCATGTTAACCTGAAGCAACATATAAGAAAGCCACAATATTTTAAGAATTTTAGTTTTTGAAAGAGAAATAAAAATTGAAAATGTCATTTTAAGATTAAAATAATTAAAAGCTTGAAATTATTTCTTTTTATTTCCTGTTCCTCGATATTTTATTAATGGCGTTGTTTTTAGCTTAAAGTTTGGACTAGATATAGGGTTTCAGTTAGCTGACAAAGAAAATAAACTTAAAATAAAAATCCTTTTTTTATTATTCTCATGTTTATTTTAATCTGTTTTTTTTTTTTTAGAATTTTATGCTATTTTTATTTTCATAAAATAAAAATCTGAAGTTGTTTAACAATATTTTTCCATACTTTTTCCCTTGAAAAAGACTTTATTTTCTTTTCCAAGTCTTTCATTTTTTTTATCTTTTTATTCATTTTTTTCTACACTTTGTCCTTGTGACTTCATTTACTTCCTCTTTTATTTTTTTATGGAATATTTTTCATTCATTTATTACATTTTTATTCATGCATTAATTACTTTTTAACTCATTCAGTCTTTTTCCTTTCTTTCTCTTCCTCTTTCTTCTCTTTATTCTTGTTCTTTCTTTATCAGCCATTTTCTCCATTCATGTCTCAACTCATTCTACACACTCTTTCTTTTTTTTTTCTTTTATCTCTCTTTCTTTTGTCTCTTTCTTTGAAATGATAGTTCTTTCATTTTCTTTCGTATGAGTCATTCTTTCTTGCTTTCTTTCTTTTTTATTTATCATTCTTTCTTTCTTTTCTTTCTCTCTTTCTTCCTTTCTTTGTCTTTCTTTTGCCTTTTCTGTCTTTGTATATGTCTTTACACACCCATTCTCTTTCTTTTTTCTTTCTTTCTTTTGTCTGATTCTCTCTTTCTTTTGAATGATCTTTTTCTTTCTTTTCCGTAATTGTTTTTTTCTTTCTATTTCTTTCTTTGTTTTGTAGGATTCTTTCTTTTTTCCAGATAATTTTTTTCCTTCTTTCATGTTCTTTTGTATGAGTACTTCTTTCTTTCTTTCTTTCTTTCTTTCTTTCTTTCTTTCTTTCTTTCTTTTCCTGTTTTTCTTTTCATTATGGTTTCTACATTTTTAAAATAATTTTAATACTAAATTTCTTTGATATTGGTTCATGATTTCATTATTTTAATTTATTTGTTTTTCATTTGAATTTTGATGACTTTTGAAAGATTTCACTTAATAAGGTTGTATAAAGTTGATATCAACAACAAAAACACATAATAATAATAATAATAATAATAATAACAGCAATAATAATAATGATAATAACAACAACAATAATAATAATAATAATGATAACAATAACAATACTACTACTACTACTACTACTAATAATAATAATAATAATAAATGCCCTGATGCTACACCAGGCATAGCTCTGGTCGATTCAGATCTTAATTGATTGGAGTTGCTAATATGTACAGGTTTTGTCTTGTAGAATTATGATCAGCACCTGTAAATAGTTCGTTCAGTACCACAGATTTACATGTCACTTGACTGACCATAACCAACTAGACATGTTCCCTACTGGCAGATGCATTGTACATCTCTTTTCATGAGTGAGAAGAGTTGGAAAGCATCATGGCTTGGTGTAGAGTGTTTTTCTTTTTTGCTTGTTTGTTTGAAGGATGGGTTAGCCAAGGCAACTTTGGAATCACATCTAGCTACTTGGGACCATCTGATCAAACTGGGTAACCTGACTTGAAGGAAATTCTAACTGTACTCCACTTGCAAGGTTATGTACTGCTTTTACCAAGACCTGTCGCCATATGGCGAATATTTGGCTGTGCTCCATGGGCCTGGTGTATCTTTATCAGATTGTGTTTCCTGATGGGGATATTGGGCATTGTCTATTTATAACCCAGCATCACTTGGCATGCTGCTCTCTTACTCAGTAATAATACTAATAATTATAATAAACCAAATTGCTGATATAATTCTTCCAATATTTTACAACACTTATATAAGAGCATGATTGAAGAAAAGTAAAAGAAAAGAGTGTTTAACTTTTAACAATATTTTGACAGTATGTTTATCTTATTCATGTTATGTTTAAAAATGCATACAAGCATAATATAAAAAATACAAATGTCACTTGTCTTGAGAAGATCAGTTGTATTGATAATGCAACAAAGCAAACCAACTAGCATGAACAGAATGCAACTAAATGTGAGTAACATAATGGGGTGTGTATTCATTTTAAATTTTCTGTCACTTGATGAGTTAATAAGAACAATTAATCAAACAATTTAGTATAAATCTTCTGCAACTGTTATTTTGTTCACTCCACCTAGTGTGGGACATTAGTAATTTCCATAGGTAATTATCTTCATGTGTTTTTTCATATATAAAAAATCTGCATATTCAGTTAAAAACGAAAATAATCTTTGATAATGGCTAAACGAATAGGCAAAAGCACTCACATATGCAAAACATTTGGACAATTTTTACACATTATGTGTTCAGAAATGAAAACACTTGTATGAACACAAGAAAAATTAAATAAAAAGCTTAATTGCTGTACATTGTTAGCCTTCTTAAATGAAATTTGTATAAAGGAGGGAGGGCTTCTGAAAGACACAATTATATATATATATATATATATATATATGACAAAAGAGGGTGTATATATATATAATATATATATATTATATATATATATATTTTTAAGACATTTTTATGTTTATACATTCATATGACCATCATATAGCCTGACGTACCTTAACTTGAGCCACAGGGGATCGTTCGGTTAGCAAGGTCGATTTTACTGCTTTTAAAATACAATCTTCTATGAATCTCTCACATACATTCATATCATGTGGCTCAATCAGTTAATGCACATCAGGCTATATGATGGTTCCATATAGGATACAGGATTGATTCATGTCGGAGAACAAATATATTCTATGAAAATTTCTTGGACATTCAGGCCGGTAAATGTTATTAATACTGTTTATCATAAACAGAGCATTTACTTAAATATTTGTATCTATAAAATGAATGTATAAACATAAAATGTCTTAAATATATATATATATATATATATATATATATATATTTTTGAATAAAACAGACAACTTTAAGGTTCCATGTAATAAATTATTTCACCACAGCCCTTTTAAAGGGCTCTGGATCATCAGACTCTACTTCCAAAGGTTGAAATGAAAAGAAATTTACACATTTTTGACGGGCTGTATTGAGCATTCAGGGCTTTAAAAAGGCTGTGGTGAAATAATTTATTACATGGAACTTTAAAGTGGTCTGTTTTTATTCAAATTTATTTGCTCTGAATTTATATTGAGCTCTCTGGATATCATCCGCCTTGGGTCTACCCATACCGATTACCTAGTTTTGCATAAATTATATATATATATATATATACACATGACAAAATCGAACAAATTTTCTTTGGACATGTTTTGCCCGCATGCACTTCATCTAGAGTGATGTTTATATTGATGTGATTACATACATGCATGAAGGAGAGAGGGGATGCTGAAAATTTTAATTTAACAATTTAGTATTTTTTTTAATGTCTTTGGGTATAGAATCCAGCCACTTTCAATTAGTTTCTTTTCTTTTTGTTCATGTTGCCATCACATTCGTTATTAAATATCACATGTTGCAATAACAGAGTATCTGAAGAGAAAGGTGAAATGTTGCAAGGACCCGGATGTAAAATTATATTTTTTTCACGTTGTCATTTATTTTCCTAAAACTGTTCTGAAATATAACATTTTATACACTGTTTTCCTATCTATACAGGGTGTATCAAAAATACTTTTACAAACTTTGGTGGCTGTTTCCTCACTAAAAAACAAGGTCAAAAGTTCACATAAACTGCAAATCCTTCATTTTTGATTAATTAAGCTTAAAGTAGACATCTGTTAAATGTTCAATCCAAGATATAATCCAAAATTACTTTTACAAACTTTGGGGTCAAGTTCCTGACAACAAGACAAGGTAAAATGTCGCTATAAATATGTGTCCAAAATGTCATTGTTGTACCTCCACACAGCAACTCATAACAAAAGTTCAAAATGTCCTCCAGTTGCTTCTATACATGCATGCACCCACTGAATCATTGACTGGTGGAACCTTTGAAATACTCCCACACATTGTTGAATGGTTTCACAGGACTCCATGACACGTTTATAAAACATCTCTTTATTATTAATGTCTGCTGTTTTAGATGGCCCCACAGATAAAAATCCAAAGAACTAAGGTTGGGAGAACATGCAGACCATGGAACCAGTACTTCCTTACCTATCCATCCTTCATGGTAGATGCCAGTCAGTGTATCATGAACAATGTCACTAAAATATGCTGGTGCCCCATCATGCATGCACAACATGCATCTTTCTATTAGCAGGAGTACATCCTCTAGCAGGTCTGTAAGTTTGTTCAAAATAAAGTCCCTGTAGACAGTCCCTGTAAGATATGCTGGGAGATCTATGGACCTACCAGACAGTCACCTATAATTCCAGCCCATGCATTAATTGTAAACTGATGCTAGTGTCTAGCCTGTATTGTTTTTTTTTTGTTTGTTTTTTTTTTAAGCGTTTCACCCCAAGCAAGGTGAGAAGCCACTAGGACGCAAGGGGTTACAGAAGATTTGGAGCAAGATAGGAGTGATAGAGGAAAGGATGTGGAGAAGGATAGTGGATAGATCAAGGCAACTGGAGATGTCAATTGACATTACATTTGAATAGATGGAGAGCTCTCAGGGAAAGAGAGCTCTCAGGGAAACTGGAATAGGAAAGGGAGTTCCACAGGCGAGAGGTGCGAGATATGAAGCTATTGGAGTAGAAGAGACGGCTACATTTAATAGTTTCGACAGTGAAAGGGTGAGAGTAAGATGCCAGCCTCGTAGGGCGCTTGAATTCATGAAGTCTGGGAACCAGCGAATGCAGCTCCTCGAAGCAATTGCCATGAAAGTATTTGTAATAAAGACAGAGAGAGGCGACAGCACATCTGTGGGAGAGCAACTGTAGACGAGATGCCAGATGCCAATTATATTGCATATCCGCCTCTGGATCTTATCAAGAACCCCGAAGCAAACAGAAGGGGGCTCCAGAACATATATGGCAGCAATACTCCATGCAAGGGCGAATTGTTGATTTGTAGATCTGGAGGTTTGATTCCGGGGAGAAAAATTTCCTGGCACAGCACAGGGAGCCAACTTTCCTTGTCGTGGACGAAGCAATTGACTCGATGTATTTGTTCCATCTCAGGTCAGCCGTCAACGTGAGACCGAGCAGCCGCAGAGAGGTGCTCTCGAGAAGTTGAGCGTCAGACATTCTAATGGAGGGCAGGGAAGGATCTCTGTGGTGATTAATAGAGTAGTTTTGTTTTTGAGGCATCAAAGTTGACCAGCCAATTTCTGCCCCAATTCACAACCGATTGGAGGTCCTTTTCGAGACGCACGGCCAGGTTAGTTTTGTCAGCGACACTAGATTTGTTTTGGGGGCAGGAGTAAATTGTGGTGTCATCCGCATAGATGCCAACTTGGGAATTTATGGCGTCAGGAAGGTCATTTATGTAGATAAGGAATAGAGTGTGGCCTAGGATGGAGCCTTGAGGAATACCTGCGTTCGTTTATACCATAAGGATTCTGATTTGTCCACAAATGTTGGTTGTATAAATTTGTTATTCCATCTTTCAAATGTTGTCCCATCCATGAACAAGACTGATGAGATAAACAACAGATTGGCAGCTTGTGCAATAAACCATCTCCCATGGTGAGTAATTGGAGGATGAAAGATCCTGCACACGTTGCAAATGATATGAATACAAGAGCTACACTTGAAGTACCCTCCATGCTGTACTGAGATGTATGACATGCTAGGGCCACTTCATGTATGCTGATATCTGGATCCTCTCTGACAGCCTGTAGAATGTATGCTTTGTGGTCAGTTGTATGTGTGGATCTCAGCCTTTCTTAATCCATAGTTTGTGGTGCTACGGATCCTGTCTCATCAACAAAATGAAAAACAGTAGCAACGGTTGAATGACTCAGCTGCCTTCAGTCTGGAAACACAATATGATACAGCCTTGCA